ATAGAGTGTACCTCCCTTGAATTGATGCCCTAATAGTGTGAAATTACTTATTTACCCTCCAAAATAAAAGAAAAGGTGAAGGCATCACTTTAATTAACAAATAATCACAAAAGATAAAAATGAACATGAAATTGAATCAATTAAATCATGTAAACAACCCACATTTAAAAAGGGTAAAAGAAGAAGGGGCTTAATTGCAAAAATTAACAAAGTTTTGGGGTCAAAAATAAAGAAAAATAAAGTTTAGGGACCTCTTTGCAATTAAATTAGGGACCCAATGGAAAGCATTGAAAGTTTGTAGGGTCATAGTGAAATTAAAGAGAAGTATAGGGACTGCTCTGTAAATTTGTTCTTTGGTTTCTTAATGGATCAGCACTGGGCCATTTTATTTATTTGTTTGGGCTGAAAACCTCCCCCAACCCAACCGAGACCCATAGCAAAAGAAAGGACCAATCTGTCATTTATAACCCCAAGAATAACCAATAGAGTCAATGGGCTTCTACCCTCTAGCCCAAATCAAAACCCAAAAATAAAAGACTCAACCCATTCCTTTAAACCCAGGCAAAATAATCTCTCAACCCAAAATCACTTGTTTCACTAAAACCCAACATGATAAAATCAACTAAAATTATTAAACCACAATTATGACCTAAAAATCAAGAATTAATCCACCCAAAAGACTACTTAAAAAAAGAAAGGATAATTAAAGTCTAAAAGGGCAAAATAAGTTCAACTTTTCCAACTTTCAAGTCCTATCAGAAATTAGGCAAAAGCCAAGGAACAAAGGCCAATATGTACAAAACATGAAGAGAACTAAACCCAGGGGTCAATTTGAAATTAATTCAGGACCCAATTGAAAGAAAAAATCAAATTATTCGGGCCGTTATGAAATTACTTATGGTTCAGGGGCCAATTCGCGAATTTCCAAACATTTGCAAACAAATGGTTCGCTGAAGCTTTCTTCTTCAGCGTGACTCAGAGGAAAGCTTCTGCAACCCCTGATGCTCCCACATTTCGGCAATTTTACACGGCAACAACACACCACACCATCATCCGACATCAATGACAGCAAAATTAATGAAAGAACCAACTCTAAAATTCCTTGGTTCCCTTCCCCTTACTAACAAACTCCCAGGTTCTGGCCAGCTTTGATCTGGCCAGAGTCCCTCTTGAACGTAAACAGAAAAAGGATAAAATCTCCTCCTTTTAGTTCAAAATTTCCATTTGGGCATTTTGTCAAACATTACATAGGCATGGAGGATTTTAGCAATTTTTCGCTCAAGGGATGGAAATCAGAGCCCAAAAATTATCAGCAACACAAAAGAACGCAGACCAATCAATACACAGAGCGTGCGCGGTCAAATATTTATGAACAATCACCGAAAAATTGCAAGAAACAAATTCACCAGAGACAGATTTTGGGGTTGGGATTTCCAGCATTTATTCTTGAATGGAAGCTGAAATTTAAAGTAAAATGGTTACTTACCGTACTCCTTCTTGGTGAATGTTCGCCGGTGATGGTGGGAATTTCCGGAGCCGACAGCAAATTGCAACTCCTCCGCTCGGCTTTTCCCTTTTCTGTTCTGCCTTCATTTAGCTCTTGCTGCTCCGCTTGTCCGTGGCGCAGTCCTTTGTCCGCCGCCCCTCTGTTTTCCTTCCTCTCCTTCCCTCAGCCCAGGACCTCTTCATCCGTCGCCATTTCTTTCCTGTTTTTACTCTCTCTCGCTCATTTCTCTCTACCGGAAGAACTTCCCCAATTTTCAGATTTTTCCTCTGCTCTTGCTGAAGACTCCCTCTCTGTTTTTCTGCTTTACTCGAAGCCCCCCTTTTCTTTCAAGCTCCCGTCGCCGCCCTCTGTCTTTTTCTCTCAAGGCCGAAGCTTTTTCTCTTGCTCCCCTCAACTCTGTCCCTTTCATTTTCCCCGTCGCTCCTTCCTCTGTTACTCTATTTTTTAGCCGCAAGCCTCCCCTGTTTCTCAAGCTCTCAGACCAAGCTCCTTTTTTTTCCTTCTGTTTCTTCTAGCCTCCAAACGAAACTCCCCTTCTCTAATTGTTCCGCCCTTTTTGTTACCCCCTTTTGGCTTGCGGCTGTTTGCATTTTTAAAGGCACCCCAAAAAACTAAACCTAATATGAAAGGCCAAGATTTCAAACCCCAAAATAGGCTTATGTGTCTTATTCTTGTCCCTTTGATTGACTTTTTCTTTTTTCCTTTTTTTTCCTTTTTTTTGAAAATTTAGTGCAAAAAACTCTTAATTCAATTAAAGTAAGACAAGAGACACGAATCAAAACAAAAAATAAAATAAAAACCTAGAATCGAAACAAACAAAATAAAATGATTAAATGATTAAAGTTTAATTAAATGATAAAATGACTTAAAAATAAAAGACTAAAAGTAAATGAAATTAATCAAAAATAAAAATACCAGTAAACAAAAATACCTTAAAAATTTGGTGTCTACAGTTTGCCCCTCTTTGTCTGAGTTTTGGAAAAACTTGAGACAAAAAAGTAGACACCAAATACTTACCTGTGTTATTCGGCTGTAAACTACTCAGATGACTGACCTAAACAAGGAATTTTAAACATGGGACTGGCCCGAACATAGGGATTTAAATTGGGACTGACCCGAGATAGAAAATGTAAATCAGGACTGACCCGCAATAGAAAATTAAAATCGGGACTGACCCGAGGCAGAAATTTAAAATCGGGACTGACCCCAACATAAAATTTAAAATCGGGACTGACCCGAGGGGACTGACCCCAACATGAAATTAAAATCGGGACTGACCCGAAGGGACTACTAGCTACTCCTCGCGGCACGAATTTCGTACTTTTGCTCTTTTGTTTGTTGGGTAAGTATTCAGGCCGCGCTTGTGTGTTAGTTGCTTATGTGTTTCGATATATATGAAGAGGGTACCTAGGCGAGGGTGTACTTTATCGCACTCGACCTAAACCCTAACTTGCGCACATATTTGTACATGGCTTGTGTATATGAGCAATTTTGGAACTAAAACCCTTGAACTTGTGGCTCGGGGTGACTTTTGAATAATTTTGTGAAGTTTGTGAGTTTGGGGCCCGATCTCAATACCTAGATGGACTATTCGAGCCAGTTAGGGGTTGGTCGAAGTCATTCCAACCTGGATTGAGCTCACCAAGTTTGTGAATCCGGTTCACCGAGTATGTGGACCAAGTTTGTGATCCGAGCTTGTGAACCAAGCTCAATTTCGTTTGCTCGAGCAAGTTTGTGAGGTGTCTGGCCAGAGAGGGTGATAAGGTGTACGGTGCGAGAACAAGTGGAGTTCTACGGACCATTATTTGTGGTCGACGGAGTGTCGGTAGAAGATCATACATGGCACATGCATTGGCTTTGGAGCCACCCGTATCCTTATTATGTGATGTTATTTTTCTGCTTTTGCTTTACTCTTACTGTGTAATTGTTAATATGTGAGATTTATACTTTTGCCCCTGATTACTTACTAAGCATATAGCTTACTCCTTTCTTTTTTTGTTTTCCTTAGCAGGGGCCGACGCGGACTTTTGATACATACACAGTATAGTTAGATTTGTATGTAATAGTTGAACAATTAGAATGTTTGTTTTAGTTTTGGTGGTTTGTATAAGGACCCTCCTTAGGGTCTACTCTTTGGTTTTGGTTATATTCATAAGGATGTAATGGGATGATTAGAACACTTTTGGGATTGTATATATTGTGTATATAGTGCTCTTTCGGTTTATCTAGTTTTATTGCTTTAACTTTCGAGTCCTAGTGCGAGCTAGGCAGGCGACCCGCTAATACCCTCGAGTTCGCCCTTGGGAGAAGTGGGGTCGTCACAGGCGACATGGCGGAAGTGCCACAAGCTCGGGGGAGGCGTCTCCTCGGCGTGCTCCTCCGCGGAACCAACCCTCAGGTGGACAGGGCCCCCCGACGTCAACAGGAGAGGGCGCTGTGCTGGGGCTGGCGTAGGCTTCTTCCCGGGTTGGGAAGGCTCATCCTTTCGGCCCCTCTTCTGCCCCGTCGCCTTCTTCTTGCTGGCAACCTGCTTGGAAGGGGACCGAGATTGGGAGGCCTCCTTCTGGGGAGCCGAGCTGCCCCCAGGAGTCGGAGAGGCCTCAGAGGCCTTCTTCGCCTCCTCTAGCTGCGTGGTGGGAGCGACCTGCTCGGGTGGCGCACCCAGTAGCCTGGAAAGCTTCCGCACTGCAGCAGACATCACCAGGTCAGTAAAAACAGGTCGGTAAAAGAAAGAAGGAAGCAATAGACTACGGGATCCTAGAGGCGGCATTACAAGTGTCGTAGTTGGTAGGGGATGGCTACACTCCTTCGGGGGACCCGGACAAAGTCCCCATTAGCCCGGCCGCGGATATCTGCTCGGTGGAAAACTTGCCCGCATAGAGCTTCATCTTGGAGCACACCAGTTGGCTGAGAGCTTCGGGGTCCAGGTCCTCCTGGTAGGGGTCGGATTCGACCTCCCCGACCTTCCACACATCAGGGAGAAAATGTGTGGACTTAACAAAGAGGAAGTCCCCCTTCCAGTTCTTCACGGAAGAAGGGATCCCGTAGAACAGGTCCTGGATTCCCTTCCCACCCCGAACCTTGCCAACAGTTCGGCGGGAGAAGTAGTACCACCCAAGAAGGGAGAGCTTGAGGGTGTAAGAGGCTCGGAAAAGAGAAAGAGAATAGGGAATGGAGCAGATTTGGCAATAGATCAGGAACGCAGTGATGATCCTGATCGAGTTGGGGTGGACTTGGGTGATTCTGAGCCCCCAGTAGCTCAGAACCTCGGCTAGGGCCGAGGGGATGGGGAGTCGGAGCCCCGCGACCAGCTGCTCCCTATAGATGGCTACGAAGCCAGGGGGAGGTCGGCTAGCTCAGTCGCTGGGCCCGGCAGCCCTCGGCTTGAAGGCCGGAGAATGGAAAAGGACCTAACCAGCTCGGCCACTACCCCGGGTGAGAGGGTGTCCTCTTGCTGGTCAGGCTGACCGTAGTCGATTTTAGGATCATCCCCCTACTCAGGAGTAGGGGTCCTCTCTGAGGAATCTCTATCCTTACCTGCCCCACCCTGGACTCCGCCAGGGGAGTCATGTGGGGACTTGGGGGAAGGAATGGAAGTGGCCTGCTGATCGATGAAAGCATCAAGCTCGGCCGCCTCCTCCAAGGTGCGGGCGGAAAGAGAATGGGCAGATGGAGAGCTCATGATATCAATGGGCTCGAGCAGATCAGGAATGTGGAAGTTGGAATTAGAAGCAGAGGAAGAAGTGAGAGGAGGAGGAGAGGATGAAGATGAAGATGAGGACGAAGACGAGGAGGAAATGAGGATTCTGAGGGCTCTACGACGGGCCGGAGTTTGGGATGCGGTGGAGGTAACGCCGGAACGATCCGACATAAAATGCAGAAGGTGGCAAAAGAGGAAAAGAAAATGCGAAGGAGGAAGAAAAAGAACTTACTGGTAAATGGAATAGGAGATGATGAAGAAACCGCCGGAATCTGGGTACTGATGGCCGGAAGTCTCGCCGCGAGAACTTTTGGAAGTAGAAAAATACGTGAAGAAAGGAAAATGGCAAATAGAGTCTGAGAAAATCTGGGAATCCCTATTTATAGGGAGCGAAATGGGGGGAAACGGCTGCTTGAATTTGAACTGCCCCATGTGAACGCATTTAAGAGCGGTATGGAGACCGAAGAGACGCGACAACTGAAAGGACGCGGGTGCAGCTTTTCATTGACAGCACTGTGCCAGAGGTGACCACGGCAGAACGGTGCGACGCTGGGCTCCCACGTGGCAAGGATATAGATTAGGTCTGCCTGGAAGCCCTACCTAATCTAGGGGGCTAGTGCAGAGGCCCCGTCCTGAGCCTATACACGTGGCAGCCCAGGGAGGCCTGAGCTGGGCTTAGACCCCGGGCCCATGGGAACCGTTCCGTGGCCCTCCGCCGCTAGGGCTCCAAGGGGCTCCAGAGAACAATCTCGCATAGGTCGGGATTGATCCCCCTCAGTGCGGGATTGAGACTATTCTGGGCAGGTCCCGAAACGTACGGAGGTCGGACTCTCTCAGCAGGTATAAATCATAACGCACACCGACTGCGCAAGGTACGCTCACTATTCGACAATCACTCCCGACCGTTTTACTCCCCGTGAATCTCACTCACCAAAAAATTAACTTGACCGTCGGAGCGCCCTCGGGGACGACCTCGGGGCTCCCCTATTAGATCACTCTCTTGTTCGCTTTGCAGGCTTGGGACACACTCTTCTCATCAGCACGCCGAGCTCATCAGGTCAGCTCGGTCCGGGGAAGTTCCGTGCTTCTTCAAGGTGCATTGAGAAAAATGCCTTTTTTAATCCCCTTCTCTATGACAAGTCTAGACATTAAGTTCATCTAAGCGGTGATAGTTTGAGATATGTTTTGTAATATCTCATCAAAATCTCTAGTATTTGTGGTTGTGAAGATCTTGTTGAAATATTGACTGATCTTCTCTTCAACCTCTGTTTCAGTGTTGCATTAGGTCCCGGATTCTCTCTAGAGTGTATGAATATTGGTTCCACCTTTTCCTATTGTTTACACTTGCATGGAAGAATGTTGTATTCTTGTCCTCGTCTTTCAACCACTGTTTTCTAGATTTTTTGACACTAGTAGCTCTCTTCTGGTTTGTTAGATTCTTTCAATTCCTTGTTCAACTCATTCAACTCTTTTTTCCTATTAGGCTCCTAATGTTGTTGCCTCAGCTTAATTTTTTTTTTTTATTTTTTGAATTCTTTTGCTAGCATTCATGTTTAATGACCTATTCCATATAAGCAACCACATTTTGCACTACTTAATTATCTACTTAACTCTAAATATCCTATTTGGTTTATTTTCCATACTTTGGTTACCACATCCTCTATCTATCTATACTATAGCCACTTCTTGTCAAAAGGGAATCTTCTCTTTCTCTTCCTATCACTCGACGTAGTATCCAAAACCAGAACACAGTGGTCCGAGACCTTTTTGACAATTTGGAGACACTTTGCTCTATCAAAAACTTCTAGCTAGCAGCTACTGGCTAGGATTCTATCTAACCACTCATTTACCTAACTCTCAGGCTCCTATTTTTACACCAAGTCCACGGGGCACCTTCAAACCAAATATCTGTGAGTTGATTAGTTTGAATGAAGTACCTCCTCAACTCTCTAAAACTACTCTCAAGTCTTTACCTTCCCTTCTCCTCCCATTTTTTCTCGTTAGATATAATGTCATTTAAATCCCCTATTGTCATCCATCTCCCACCCCACAAATATTTCCTATTAGACAACAGCTACAATTGCTCCTTCTTTACCCTATAACCAATACTGGCATATATACACACGTACCATCAAGTATCATTAAGATTATTTTCATAAAGAAGCAGGCCAATAGTGAAGAGTGTACATAAAATTTTCTCAACCTTAATATTATTTGTCCAGATCACAGCCAAGCCCCCAGACTTACCTATAGGATCTATAACAAATAATTCATCAAACCGAATTCTATTTTTAAACTTAGCCATGATCATTTTTTTTTGGCTCAACAAGAAACAATAAACTTGGAAAGTGGAGTATTGATACCTCCATAGTCTAGTGAATTGTTCAGGAGCTCCCCACTCCATGGCAATTCCATGCCACAACTCTCATTGGGCTTGGAAAGCTCTAACAAAGGTAGACTCTAGCACCTTGATCTCGTTGGTTTTGCTCCTTCCATTGAATTCTTTCTTGTTCATTTTATTTTGATCACATAGCAAATTTTCTTTATCATACTCTTCATCTACCAGCCTAAATTTTCCCTTGGTGTCCATAATGTTCAGTGATGTACTTGCTTGTTTCTTTCTTAGAGGTTTCCTCTTGCCCACTTCCTGTACAAGCCTCCTCCAACTCTTTATCAGCTATTGTTTTGTCCTCCTTATTAATACTCCATTGTTCGTTTTGTCCTTTATCATTTTGGAACCTTGATCAATAGTTTCTAGCTCGATCTCCATGTTTCTATCACTACTTACTTTATCCCTATCGACATCAAGCACCATGTTCTCCTTCTTGTTGCCTTCGTATTCCTGCATCGTGTCAACTTGCTCCCAAACTATATCACTGCCTTGAGCAGAGTCAGTCAGCTTTGGGGGCCTATGACATTGGCGTTGTCATGAATGTTTAATTGTCTACTTGGACTGGAGAGTGTGAAGCTATTGCTATTGAGATGATGGTAATTGTCCTAAGCGTTCAATAGGCATAATTGACTGTTTATTTCCGCTTCTCACTTTATTCATTTGCTGTGGCATGTTATCATTCTGCATTGATAGTCTTCTCTTTGGTCCCATGCTCTTAGGGGTAACTGTACTTGGATTCTCTTTCGTCTCTGTGGCCCTTTCCTTCCTCCCATCAGCTCCTCTTCTTGGGGATGACTTTGGGAAACTTGCTTTTATCCATGAGCCATATTGGCTATCGGACGTTCCATTTTAGGAGTTGCCTTTTGCAGTATAGTTTTATCATTATCGCCTATAATTCCATAGCAATACAAAAAAGGTCGAACCGTACTCGTACTGGAATTCGATCCAATATCGGAGGATACCATTTACTTTAACCGTCATTCCCCTCAAAAGAGGCTATGAAATATCAACCTCAATAAGGATTTTCAGACACCGCCCTTTCTTGCTTCCTCCTAGTGGCACAAAAGCCTCTTTCACACTGCCCAAAACAATACCAACTCTCTTCATAGCCTTCTTATTCTGGAAGGAACTGTTTGATAACCTAGTTGAACACATAAACTTAATGAATTCATGTTTTAACATATTCAAACCAGTTGATAATAAAAAATTGAACATTTGAATTAATTAAGTGATACTGAATTTTCTAGACAAAACATGCTCCCAAAATTAAATGATAAGCTATTTACTTATCACTGAATATGATATGTACTCAAATGTATTAGATTTAATACTCAACAATTCAATAATTTAATGAATTCAAATTTCGTATTTCAAATTTTAGATTTTAGATTTTAATTTTCAAATTTTAGTTTTCAAACTTTAATTTTATCAAATGCACCCTAAATGAATTGGTAAGCTCTACACCTGGATCCACATGGGCAATTTAGAGTAAATCTCTTCATTGTCATGGACCCATGGCAACCACCCATTACTCTTTCAAGCCCATGCGAATTGGAGAAGATGAATTGATAAAAATTAAACCCCAGTTCTCTCATTTTCAGGTTCTTTAGGAAGCCCCACCTTTGGTTCGCAAAATTCTTCACTCCATAGAAATTCACCACCTTCCCGCCGACTATTTTTCTCAGGATGTTTAGTTTGCTTCCACTTAGACTTGCCAAAGCTTCTACCTCGTCTAAAATTGATTATACTAGGAAGATTGAGAAAGAGTGTAATTCCCAATTGGAGATTGAAATTGATCTTTGCAAGAATAACCCAAAACATATTGCCTTCCCGCTAAATATGGCTTAATCAATTTCCCAATCGTTCATTCGGTAATGTTATAACTTCTATACAAAATTGAAATGACTATAAGCCTTGCTCGCTTTCTCAATAAAATGACTCAACGGCTTTTCCAAATCTTTGATTCAATAACTCTCTAGCTTTCCATACAAAATTGAAATTACTGTGATCTTGTAGGCATTCTCAATTAGTTGAAAACCAATCAAAGAGTCGGATATCTCTTCCGCCTTCCTAAATTTCAACATATAAATCCTCTTCTTTTCTTTCTTCCATTTCAGTATATTAATCTTCATTTATTAAACCTTGGGCCTTTTAAACTCTAGAAACCCAAAGTACTAAACAGGCCTAATGCAAATTAAACAAGGTGGGTTTTCATCATATACCCCACACAAAACGGGCCATCCTTTACCCGTAAAGATTGGGTTTCATCAGCTAGCGTTGCATCAGAGGGTGTACAATCTTAGCCCATATAATTATCTTATACGATACTTTTATCCTGGGAGGACAGAAAGGTCCCAGGAACCATGTTAAATAACTTAAATTCCCATGGTATCCGGTTAAACCTAAAATTCCTGCTATATAAGTATCATGATTAAGAAGCAAAGACACTGAAGCCTAGCATCCACCGTTATGTATTTTTCCACTGCTCAAAACCTTTCCTCGAAGCTTCAAGAGCCCTATATTTTGTACTCTGATTTGTGCACTTGGTTGGTTTCAAAATCTTGGTTAAGTTAGTATTGAGTTAATTTGTATAACTTTGGCCTTTTTTATTGACTATGCAGCAAAATTTTTCTCCCCCCCAACAAACCCCTTCCTTCCCTCCCCCACTGAGACAGAGAAGTTGTATGGTTTTGGTGCGTAGGGAGTCCATCTTGGCAAAGCTTGAAAACCAAATATTTGGAGATGTTAAGCTTTGAATGCTAATGGACTGAAATTGAGA